GAACCATATAGAAATTTTTTTTAAACCCCCCTGCCCCCCCCCATTGATCCAGTCAGTAATAAAATGCCAGTCAGGAATCATCAGTAATTTGGATAATTTGCACAGAAATTATTTCAGTACAGTTCATGTGTTCCTAGTTTTGGGGGATTAATTTTCCATCTGATGAGATGGAAAGTTTCTGGCATACACACCATGGACTTTTCACAGATTTGGAACTTTGATCTTGAGCACAAGTATAAATGCTATTATTGTTTAAATGTGTATTAAAATAAATAACCATCCCATCTGAAGTAAAAAGAATCCATATACAAATGTCATACACAATGACAATGCACTTATGCTTTGGGTCATTTCCACTGGTCAGGCATTAACTCCATTTTGATATGAGTAAGGGAAAAATTCTACTACAATGGCACAGTCATCATGGGCAACTTCCTTCCTGTTACAACCTAACTTCCTAGTATAGGCTCCTTGGGGACCTAGAAGATTTTCAGAGGATCAGAACTATTCACCATTCTTGAACTGGGGGACGTATTACTTTACTAATGAATTTTAAATGTGTAAGTACCGCTCCTATATCTTGACAGCTCAGAAGAAAAATAAACATTGTGTATTATATATAAAACATGTTAAGGTTGCAAAGTCAAACACTCGAAAGCTACGAAATGCCACAATTAAGATTGCACATACAACATTAATGCAGCCCTCTGATGTCAATAGTTCATGGATTAGGGACCCAATCTTATGGGGTTCCAGGGGCTTCTGTACAGATTAATTAGGTTAATCTTTCTATCTACCCAATGGGACTCAGTGCTCAGTCTAGAAGATACCATCAGAGATGCTTAGTTTTACAGTTCTCAAACTGTGGATTTGTGTCTCCAGAGATAACAGCAACAGTTTTTAAATAAATAAATATACAGAAGTGAGAAATAACAGACCTCAACCCTATTGTCCCTCTTCAAATTTGTATACACAGAGTCAATCCCTTACCTCTCTCTAAAAGTGCAAAGTTTCCAAAAACAAAACAAAAAATGGTTGGGGGCAGAATAGATCTGGACAAGGAGAAGAAGTCTGGAAATAAATGTGAGAAGGGAGGGACAGGCAGCAGAAACAAAAGTGAAACTGTTTGAGCAGCATATTACAGAAGACTTGAGGTCTTTCTGAGTGTAGCCTTCATTGATTTGAGATCTACCATACCATTCTCTCACTAGCAGCAGGCTGTAAAAAAGACCCAGTTTGGGAATATTTTAATGAAGTTCCTCTACCTGTGGGTAAAACAGGCATGCGTGTGAAATGCAAACAGTGCCACAAAGAAATGCAAGATCTAGTTGCCCGAATGGAGCAACATCATGAGAAGTGTTCCTTCTCAGGAGGAAGCTGCGTTGAAGATGATGAAAGGAACATGTCTGAACATGCAGGATTTTCAGGTTTGTAAACTTTTATATTTCAAACTTTCTTAAGGACTGCCTGTCTTCCTTCTGGACTATTCTTGAATTCTCATGTTTGAGCAAAAAATAGTTGTTACTCTATGGTACTAACATTTTAGATGCAGTTGTGATCAAAAATAAATAGCTGAAATAGGCAGATCTTCCTTTTACAATTTCACCTTTAAAGTAGTACTGTCAGTGAACGCAATGAGTAATACTAAATAAGCAGTATGGTAATAATAATTAAATAACTGCATTGACTTATTTTGTTTAGGGGAATCCATCCTCAACATACAGGATTCTGAAGACCATCCACCTTCAAAATCACAATCATTTTCTATAGTTTCAGAGTTATCTGCCAATGACAGTGTTTCAGTCACATCATGTACGTCACATAGCCCACAGTATATCACCTGTAGCAAAAAGAAGAAGAAAAATCTCCATCACCCAGAAACAACCATAGAGAAATTTGCGATAACCAGCAGATTACAAAAAGAGGTAATTGATGAAAAAATTGCCCGGTTTGTTTATGCAACAAACTTTCCTTTCCGTATGATTGAGAACCCACACTTCATTAACATGGTTCAGTCATTAAGACCAGGATAGAGTCCACCCAACAGAGCAGATGTCGCAGGCAAATTGCTGGATAAAGCATATGAAAGAGAAATTGAGTAGTGTGCAAAAGGTCTAGAGAGTGAAATTGTTAACCTGAGTCTTGATGGGTGGAGCAATGTCCACAATGATCCTGTTGTATGTGCTTGGGTGACAACAGAAGAAGGGAATGTCTTCCTTACAGAAACAATTGATACATCAGGAAATGCACACACAGCAGAATACTTACAAGAAGTAGCAGTAAAAGCTATAACAAACTGTGGGGAAAAAAAGTTCAAATGTCTAGAATGCAGCTTGGTCACAGACAATGCTGCAAATGTATCCAAGATGAGAAGAAGTTATTTACAAGAGAGCCCCAAGCTAACAACATATGGTTGCAGTGCTCATTTGATGCACCTCCTAGCCAAAGACTTCAGTGTTCCAGAAATAAAGGCTAATGTTGTTGAAATTGCAAAATACTTTCGTAACAACCACTTTGCAGCAGCTGCTCTGAAAAAAGTGGGAGGAACCAAGCTAACTCTCCCACAAGATGTGCGATGGAACTCTGTAGTGGACTGTTTTGAGCACTATATCAAGAACTGGCCTAATCTGATGAGTTTGTGAACAAAATCATGAAAAAATAGATGGCACTGTCACAGCCAAAGTTCTTAACATTGGGTTTAAGAGAAATGTTGAGCACATACTGAGTACCCTGAAGCCTATTTCTGTAGCCTTGAACAAAATGCAGGGAAATAGCTGTTTTATTGCTGACGCCGTTGAAATTTTGAAGGAACTGAGAGATCTTAAAAAGAGAAAAATGCAATGACAGAGTTAAATTACAAGCATTAAAAAAACGAATGGGACACGCCCTATCTCCAGCTCTTTTTCTTGCAAATATTTTCCATACTCAGTACCAGGGTCAAACCTTAACTGCTGAAGAAGAGGAGTTGGCTATGACATGGACATCCAATCAATCATCCCTCCATAATGCCAAATATAAAAAATTTCAGTGCTAAGGGTGAACCATTCAAGAAGTATATGTTTGCTGATAATGTTTTAAAGAAAGTCACACCAGTGAACTGGTAGAAGTCACTTAAGCACTTGGATTCAGAGACTGTTGAAGTGAATCTCACTTTTAACAGCAGTAGCTTCTTCTGCCGGTGTAGAGAGAATATTTTCGTCCTTTGGACTAATTCATTCCAAATTGAGAAATCGTTTGGGACCTAAAAAAGCAGGAAAGATTGTTTATAATCTGGAAAAGAAAAACAAACACGAAAATGAAGGTGAAGACAACTGAGTTAGCTGCAGAAGCCAATATTTTAAGTTTCTCATGTTGACCTGGCTGACACAGTCTATTTGATTATTTTTTTTTAATATTTAACTCTTTTAGTTAAACAATTGAAGCAAAAACAAACCTGATCTTTAAAAAAACTTGAATGTTTAATTAAATTCAAAAATTCATATGCTTGTTTTGTTAAAATATTATAGGTTTGCTGTTGAGGTGGAAAAAACCCAGAAGACATAACGTTGTTGTTTTGGTTAAATAAAACAACTTAAATGTCTGTCTGGTGATGTTCTTCTCCTAATACAGCAGGGCAAGAAAATCCTCCAAATATTAACGATTAACTTGTTGAACTAGAGATATTTATGAAGTCATTGGGAGGTGAACTATCTGCTTCAATTACCTTTGGTAAATGAAATAACCAAACAATCATTCATTTTTCTGATACAGCTGTAAAATAAATCTGAAAAGTTTTCAAAATAAATCACTTAAAAAATATATAGTCTATACCTTCTAAAAATGAAACCTACATCTATCTCAGAGTTGTGAAGAATATGTATTAAGGTTGTAACAACCAACAAGAATGCACTTTTATGTAGAAATCCATGATTGAGTCGAGTCTTCCTGACTAGTGGATTTAAATAAAATTGAAACACTTTCTAACAGGGTGGATTTAGAAAAAGTGTTTCATTCTGCAGGCTTTTTCTTTAGTAATGTGGATGGTAAAACCTTTAAAGTTAGTGCATGTAGTTCATATAACTGAACCTACCCTACAGCAATGTAGCATAGTCACAACTGCTAGCTTCTTCTCTAGATTGTCAATAAACAGAGCTAGCATGAGACAGAATTAGTAGTACATCTCTGCAGAGGGGGGATTCCTTCAGTAATTCAGCCAAAGGTGTGGCACAACACGCACTGGGATAACAGAGAGGCCTACAACTGTAACCGCCCCAGTAATTTGAAGGATGAGGCAGTGGCTGCAGTACACGTGTCAGGGTGAATTTTTAATCCCCGCTCACTTTAGTTGTACGTGACTTGCCTACAGCTTCCCCAAGGGCCTGGTCCTCTCCGCAGCCGAGGTAGGCGCTGTGTGCGCGCCCTGGTGGCTCCGTTTCAAACAAACGGGTGACAGGATTCCGTTTAAACTCTATCACAAGCCCACGCCGGCCTAGGGCGCCTGAATGGCAGCAGCAGGCTGGAAGGACCGTCCCCCGCGCTGGCAGCTGGCTCGACGGTAGCCTGCCCGAGGCGCTCCGCGGTGGGACTCTCGCGGCCCGCGCTGCTCGGCGAGGCGCCCGCACAGCCGGCCCAAGGCTTAATGACAACACGGACCTCCCCAAATCCCCGCCAGGGCCGCAAGCTCCGAGGAGCCACGCGGGGATACAGGGCCCGCCCCACGTTTAATGGTCACGGGCTGACCCCGCCCACCTGGCCGGCCTTGCCTCTGCCTATGCCTAGTCAACATACGTGTGTGAGTGGTATAGCACCGTCGCGGCTGCGCATGCGCAGAGTCTATAGCTAGGGGAGGGGCGGAGCCCGGCACTGCGCAGGCGCATCTCTGACATCCAGTTCCCATTACTTTAGTGGGACCGGTTCAGGATACTGCGGAGCAACACAGAGCTTGGGCGAGGTTGGTGTTCTGGCATACTTCCGGTCACGTGGGGCGAACGGAAGCAGCGTATGTCACGTGGCCCTTTCTGGGCTCGTTTTAACTGGGGAGAATGCAGTTCCTCCTTCCGTTCCTTTCGCGGGTGCGCGAGAGGCAGCTGGAGAGCGGTCAGCGGCCCACGAGGTGCGGGGCTGGGGGAGCAGGGACGGACTGGCGGTCTGGGCTGAGGGGATCCTGTGGGTCGGGGCGGTCTGTACGGGGCGGATTGGAGGGGCGAGGTCTGTGCTGGGGGGAGGGAGTTCTCTGGTGAGTTGCATGGGTGTGCGTGTGGGGTGGGTATGTGTGGAAGGAGGGGTTTAGGGGAGGCTGGGGGGGCGAAAGCAGGGATGGGTGGTCTGAGTGTGGAGGGGATGGGTGTGTGGGAGGAGGAGCTAAGGGGAGGCTGGGGGGGCGAAAGCAGGGATGGGTGGTCTGAGTGTGGGGGGGATGGGTGTGTGGGAGATAGGGTGACCAGACAGCAAATGTGAAAAATTGGGACGGGGGTGGGGGGTAATAGGAGCCTATATAGAAAAAGCCCCAAAAATCAGGACTGTCCCTATAAAATCAGGACATCTCGGGGGTTGGACTAGATGACCTCCTGAGGTCCCTTCTGACCCTGATATTCTATGACTCTAGTGTGGGAGGAGGGATTGGGGGATCTGTCTGTGCTTGCTGTGTAAGCACTCATTAAGGCGGTTGGGTGCAGAGTTGGCTCGAGTGCCTTGGTGAGGCAGTTGGTGTGTCACAGCAACAGCCCTGTGGCCAACTTGCCAGCCCCTGCATGTCTCTGGCAGGCTGCTAATGTCCTTTGAGGCCACTGAGACTGTCTCCCTAGAACCTGAGTGTTGCAAAGCCCAGGGAGTAGTTTCCAGCCCTTGGTGAAGCATAGATGCCCTGGATATGCCTCTGAGCTCTTGGATGTGGAAAGCTCTGTTAGCTCTGAGAGCCTCCTACTGGATTCCAAACAAAAACTTAACTGGACTCATTGTTAATTGTCACTCTGGCAATTCTATTACAAGTCTCACACTATTTGATGTTTTTCTTTCATACGCGGTTGCTGGTGGCAAGAAGTTTCATGAGACTCTCTACAGAGAAGACATTGCCAATTATATCACTATAATGTGCCAGTGTGGTTAAACTTCTATAATTACACCAATGTCACTCCCTGTGTGGGCACTTAGCCCTCAATAATGGTGGCTTTTTTGCCTTTGCTTAATTGCTCTCAAAGTAACCTACAGTAAGCTAAAATACATAAATGCATTCATACTGGAATAAGAATGTCCATAAAGTAACCTAACTGGAATAAGTGTCCACACAGGGAGTATAGCAGTCTAAATTCACACCCTGTATCATACCGGTATAACTTTCCCATATAGAGAAGCCTTAGTTTCTAGCCCTTTTGGTTGCAGAGACAAGCTTAAAAACATGATGCAAGTGCATCCTAATATCTCAGAAACTAAAAGACAAATAAGAGAGAACTGCTGCTAGGAAGTATTGGTACAGTAACAGCTGACCAACTATTTAGTCATCACAGAGAATTTGTAGATTCTAGGCTTGGTCTATACTTAAGCTTTGCTGGCATAGAAATGTCAGTTGGATATGTGAGACTTTTTTACACACATAGCCAGCATAGCTGTGCTGGCAACATTCTGGTGTAGATAGTTCTACTGGCAGAAAGTTATTTTGCCAGTATATTTTTTTGTTTTGGGAACTGGTATAAGATAACCTGCAAAAGAATTATTGTCAGTATAAGCTAGTTCTACACTAGGGGAGTTTGTCAATATAGAAACTCCTTGTAGATCTTGCTGTTTTCTATAATATTCAAGCTTGCATTAAGAAAATTTCTACTATAGCTCTCATAGGCTTGGTCACATCCCTCACTGATGTACCTTTGCTGATATACTCCTCAGTATAGATGCAGCTATGTTGATGGATGAGTACTTCTGTCAATATAGCTAATATTTAGGGAGGCAGTGTTCCTATAGCAACAGAAAAAGTCACTGTAGGTTGCATCTACACTCTGGGGCTATGTTGGCATAGTCTCTGTAGTGTAGACATACCCATAGGAAAAATAATGCCAGGAGAGGTGTACACCTCTCTCCTGTAGTCCATCTTGATGTGCTTTTAACTTTGTATTAATATGCAGCTGTTCAGAGCTCTTCATACTGGAAATATCTACCCACTGTTTGTCTAGTGTCATTGCAGCTTTGTCTACACATAGACTTTCCCTGGTTTAACTGAACATGTTATTTTTAACTGATTCAGAGCTGGTCGACACTACAGAGTTAGGCTGGTTTAACTATATTGCTCAGGGGGCTGTGAAAAATTTCACACCCTGTGTGATGTAGTTAAGCTGACCTAAGCCCTGTGGTAAACACCACTAGGTTGATAGATGAATTCTTCCATTGAGCTAGCGTCCCTTGAGCAGTGGATTTACTACAGCGACAGACGAACCCCATCTGAAACTGTAGTACATGTCTACACTACAGCAATGCTGCTGCAGCATTTCTAGTGTGGACATATCTTAGTTAACTGGTGCAAGTTGTATGTAGATGAGGTCTGTAGCTCAATGTATTAATTTGGATGGATGGTTGTTTTATGACTGTGTTGTATGCCAATCTTCTGATCACTTAAAATGGGGTTTTTTCCCCCTCTTTGAAGTTAAAGAAAAAAATCACAAACTCCAGGCCCTGATGGTTATAGTATCAGCTAAGCAAGTTTAACTTGGGTGGGATAGATTACTGTTTAGCAAACCAGTTTTGGCGTAGCTGTGCAATATTTTTCAGTGACCCACATCATTTTTGTAATGCTACCGCTAAGTGGTATTTAAAATATGAATAGGGAAAAGCAGAATAGGAAACAAAGTTAAATGTTTGCAAACATCTGTTGTCTCAGATCAGGAGTACCAAGCAATTAGAGTAAGTATTTCAAGAACAATCCTATGTTCTATTACTTTGAATTAGAAATCTGATTTGGGCAGAAAATCAAAACCAACTTGTTAAATCCCCTGACTACAAAGGAGACTAAATAGTGTACAGTACTATTGCTTTAAGGATAAATTGTATAGCAAAAATATCTACAAGCCATGGGGAAAATGAATTAATCCCAACCTAATTTGTTGGAAATTGGCTTTGAAACTAACTAGTAAACTGCCCTCAATATTTCACATAAGCACCCAGTATACTTTCCTATAATGAGAGAACAAATATTGAATGAGAAGATCTTCAAATTCTTAAACAAAAGGATTATAGAAGATCACATGGGTTTATTTAAAAAAGGTACCATACTCCCTCATCACATTAAGTTTATTATTAATAAGTATTTAAATTGCAGTAGCACCTAAAGACCACAGTGAGGTTGGATCCCATTGTGCTAGGCACAAAAAGTTGACAGCATTACAATTCTGAATAAGACCTGGGGGCATACACCCCAAATAGCCATATTTGCCTTGTTTGCTGGGGACCTTGCTAGCATTGGGAGAGAAAGGAACCCTCAATTCTAACAAATGTTATAGAGATAACCAACTTCAGTTTTCATTTTATAGTATGCAAATATAATTTCAGAAATTCTGCTACTTGTGGGGTTCTAAAAGAGAAGAAAGTTGATGTGATTGTTTTATAAATTGGAAAAGTACTTTTTAAAATATAATGTTAAAGTCCTGAGAGATGAGCTGCAGGTTTCTTGCTTTCTCTTTGAATGTCTAATTCCACAAGTATTGACAATTACAATGAAAATGAGAGTTTAGAAATCAGCTATTTCTTTCAGACCTCTGGGACCTTGTACAATATCTCTGGCAGAGAAACCAGGAAGTATGTAATTTTAACTAAACTTAAATTCTGATCTTGACACAACTTTAAAAATGGAGTGAATGTAATTTGCACTTTAAAAATAAAAAAATGGGGCAGATGACCTGCTAACATGTTTTATATACACTCTGATTTGAAAGGATAGAGTTTCTAGTGGAAATGAACAGAGGTCATTTCCTATTATGTCCTCCTCATAATGACATCTCCCACCATTTCTGAGACTAATCAAATGTGATTATAGTTGTGCTAACACTTTATTTTGAACAAACTGCTTTGTTTGATTGCAAATTAAATAGCTGATTTCTTATGAGACTTGCTTTAAGACACCTAGTTTATTTTACTACAGTTTGCATATGTTCCGTGAAATTGAGCTGGATTTCATTAGGCAATAGAAGACATTTACTATTGGCAAATCATTTTTATTGATTATTTTGAGTTATTTTCAGTCTTTCAAGTGTTCCAGATAATGATAAATTGGACAGCTAAATAACCTTACTGCTGTTGATATGTCTTCATAAATCATTTTCATCAGCAGCTGGGTGTCCAAATTCTAATGATAAATTGCCTCTTTGTCACTGGGGAGTTTAGTTAGAGAGTTGTCCGGTGGTCCTGACCATGCCCTTTCCATAGTATAGTGACATACTTAAGAGCATTAGTTGTCTTGGGACTCCATTGTAGTGGGATCTTGGTTTGGTAGTCTCAGAGGCAGCATAATCTTGGTGAGAGTTCTGACCTTGAATTGAACCTTCAGGGAATGTGCCATTGTGCTTACACGGAAACCTGTGCTCCCAAAGCGAGGTAAATGTAACCTTTAACCTTAGTTCATCTTTCATACTTGTCAAACCCAACGGGACGACACAAAAGCAATGGCTACTCCTTAGGAATATCATACTCTTGTAAAATCAATAACTCTGCATAGTGGAACATGCTTAAATATATAGACTTACCCACAACACATTCTTTTAATGGGCAAAATATTAATGCCTTCTGTTTAACCGCTTTTTGTCTCTTAAAAAATTGTGACATTTTACTGAACTTATCCCAGAACTCGCTTCATGAAAATGGTTTAATATTAAATAGTCACTGGGATCATTGTTGCTTCACTGATATAATAATCCTTTTGGCGCATTTTCCAAGTGAATGATGAGAATTCCATTCCTGTCAACTGTTCAAAATGTCTGGAACTTTTTTCTTTTAGGTAATGAGGATAGAGTCAGCAGTTAGTATTTGTTTCTGATGGTATTGCAAGTTTCCTGTCTGGACTCTGCTATGCTACTCCTTTGTAACCAGCAAGATGTCACGTGAACTGTTAAAGAAATAAGGCTGTGAGTATATTGTTGGGATTTTTTTCTTACTGTAAATACATAGTGCTTGGAGAGCTTCTGCAAGCTAGCAACCAGGAAGCTGTTTTCTGTTAAATCCAGACCCAAGTCACTGTGGTTTTGAACATTTTGATTTTGAAGCCGGCAAAAGAAGCAAGATGGCAGTGAGGAAAACCCTTACTCGTTAGTTCTATTTTTCATGTGACTGAGTGTTCTGTATTAACAAATGCAAATTACTTTAAAATATACACCTACCTGTTGGCAAACTGTCCTGAGTGGCTGAGATGCTGGGCAAAGTTCCCAGGGGCATGTGTTTTCATAGCTTGAAGTTAGCCTTCTTCCATGCAGTAATAACTGTATCAAAGATAAGAAGTTGTTTCACTGGCATAATGATGATTTCCTTTTTGCCGTTTACCCAACTGAATGTCATTTCGTTGATGTATATTTATGAATCTGAGATGCCAGCACATCTGTTAAGTAAACCAAATAATGAGGAGTTTGTAGTATCCAGTGGTCTGTGTGGATTTCTAATTTATTTTTCCCCTAAACACCACAGATCAGCATTGGCCTCAGAGATTTTGTTGCTCTGTCCATAAATCCCTATATTGTGAGATGGGCTTTCAAATGCTGCTTACCTGAAGCCTGCCAGCTCTCACCTGAACTGCTGAGGTAATTTAAATGCTTATCTTTTGCATCTCAGTACTAAGATACTAGAGTATTTGTCTATGCAATAAGCTTCTCAACAAGTAATAAATTAATCAGATAGCAGAATTCACTCTGGTTCTCCTGAACAAAAAGAATAAATCCCAGAATACTCAGATACAAGCTGTTCTCTTTAGAAACCAGAGAGCAAAGATAGCTACACTTCACCTGGCCATTCATCCCCATCCTACACTGGTGGAGTCCACACAGTGACAAGTAAGTATAATTACCACACTTGTGACTAAAAATGTGGAGGTAACTCATTTCTTAAATGGTTCTGAAGCTAACAGGCAGTCTGAACCTTTAATTCTAGTAAAGAGATTTATTTAATAACGTGGGACCTGCTCTTCAGACTGTGGCTTGCTTTTGCACTTAAAATGAATTGCTGAAAAAAGCATGATTAATTTTGTGGATGCAAAATTAAACTGCCGTTTGAAGGCCAGGTTTAACTTGTAGTACTAGGATGCTTATTTTATACTTCTAAAGAGATGTCACTATATTAATATTTTCTTTGTGATCAAATACTTAGTTTTAGTCTCATAGCATTAAATGCTCATCATAGACAGGAAGTTGCTTTGTTGGCATAATTTCTTTTTGCCATTTACCCAACTGATTGTTTTGATGATGTATCTGAAATGCCAGCCAAACACCGAATAAACCAAAAAGTGCCTGTGGATCAAATTCATTAATGTTTCTGATATGAACATTTTATTTAAAATAGTGAGAATTGAGTCAGTTGTGATGTTTATTTCAAATGTTTTTACAAGTCCCATGTACTTTGTGTATAGCCAGCAAAATGTCCTATCAACTGGTAAAGTAATAAAAGTGAGTCTGTTGCTTTTCTTTGATATCAATACCAGAAATCAGAATCCAATAAGAGAGTCAAACCTTCATCTGGTGAAAATCTGCACAGAATTGGTCCATGGTGCTTTTCCATGATGTCCCTGAAACTATGTTGGCTTACACCAATTGAGGATCTGACTTGGTGGTCAGGGGTTTCATTAGGCCAGCAGCTGGGAAGCTCTTTCTATTTTTATCTAGCCCCTGTCATTGTAGTGATCTTTTTTTATTTCTGTTATAGCAATCTAAAAGATAAGTTGGAAACTGGAATGGGGGGCAAAAAATTGTACTAGTTTTGTGCTTTTATATTGCAGAAAATAATTGAAATTCAAGTCCTTTAAAATATATGCATTACACAGTAGCAAAATGACATACTGCAGAAATATAGTTCTTGTCCAGATTATCATGCCACACATACAGCAGGAAGACAAGTTCTCATCTTGAAATTAACTACCTTTCATTAAATCAGCACCTTAGACAACATGATGTTACTGGCATAATGATGATTTCCTTTTGCCGTTTACCCATCTGAATGTACGGTGATGTATATGTTCAAATCTGAGATGCCAGTAAAGGTTTGGATTAGTTCAGTAACTTAGTTTGTCAGCGTGGTCGGTTTTATACATTTTTATTTCTGCAATTTTTTCAGTGGGAAATACCTTCGTTATGTGATTTGCTGAGCTCAGACACATTCAGAAATGCCATTTTCCTGACTTTGTTCTGCTCTTTGCAGCCAGCAAGATGTTTGAATTCTCTTCAGGTAAGTGGCGGGGGGGGAGTATTGTTTTTGTGATGCCTTTGTATATATCTCTATGCTGAAAAGAATGAAACCTAGCACAGCTAAGGTAGGTAGAAGTCTAGGTTAAAATATGTGAACCAACACAACAAATGAGTCATGGAGAGCAGTCCTTTAAAAAGTTGTGAGGAAATAGCCCTCTGACCATTCTGGGTGAGGACTCAACACTTTGAAAAGCTTAACAATCTTTCAGATGATTCAGCCCAACTTAAAACTAATTTCAGAAACTTTCATGTGAATATAAAAGGAAAGTATAGTTGATTTCAAAGTCAGCCAGACCATTTTTGAGTTCTAAATATTTGGGTTACATGTGATCAGATTAATATTTCTTTGAGAAAAGAGAGGTTTAAATAAGGACAAAGGATCTAATTTTGTGGAACTGAACCTCTTAAATTGTATTATGATAGCCTCTTCCCCATATTCATAATTGTCCATGAGACGACTAATAAGCTTAGTTCTAGTCTTGGGTGGCAGACTGTTGCTTTGATGGCCTAATGATGATGATCTTTTGCCGTTTACCCAGCTGATTCTTTCTGGAGAGAACATCTGAGTCTGATGTGCCATCTTAATTTTGAGTTCGCTAGATTACATAAACTGTGACTCCAATTTAAGTGTATTTCTTATGCCTTTTCTTTTCAGAATAAGAATTTACATCAACCATGGTGTTAAATATATGTTGTCTAATGTGCAGTTAACTTGCAGCTACCAAGAAGTCATACAGTTTTCAAGGTATTTTGAATGTTTCAGGAGCTAATTTTTCTGTCATATCTCTGTTTTGTTTTGATATTTTCATATTTTAACTGGATCCTAAAGCGATTATCAATCTGAATTGATATAATGAAAACTGATCAGAACCTTCTCTAGAGCAGGTTCTTTATTGTAATTAAACAACATTGCTGAGAGGAGAGAGAGAGAGAGAGAGAGAATTCTTAATATCAGCCTTCAACGTAACTCTAAAATACATGGTAACACTGTCGATTTCTGATTTAAAAGCAGTTACTTTTAATCTACTGTCCCAAATGTATTAAATCAGTCTTTTAAAGGTAAATGTTTTGCTCATAAAAGATGCTAGATTGACTGCTCTAGTGCTTGAGGCTTTTTATCCAGAGGCCAGGCATAATGTGGGCAGTAGCAATATGAGCTTTCCTAATCCCAGCCTGAGTTGACCGGAGGACCACTAGGGGTGAAGAGGGTAATTGTGTTCATGCCCATTCAGATCTTGTCCTTTGCTTTGCCTGACAACAAGCATGTAAGATATGATGGTGGTTTTGTAGTGCAGCCCTGTCTGCAAGAAACGATCCTGAAACTAACAAATTGTGTGATGCTGATTTAGTCTTGTTATAAAGGCAAAGGGAAAATTCAAAAGCAAATTCAAGGTACTATTACTAATCTGTTATCAAGAAAATCTTCCAATCACAGGACATTTTTCTTTCCAAAGGCACAATGTTTACTCGGTTATAGCTACCTCCCTTCATAGTGAGGATAGCCTGCTATGTAATCCCCAAAAGACCCAACTTAGACTTATTAAAAAAACAAACAAAAAACCTTGCGTTAACATGCTGGCAACAACTCCGCACTTCTGTATGAATAACCTTTTTTACATCAAATCAAAAGCTCACTAATCTGAGCCAGTTCCTCAACATTACATCTGTTTCCAGTTTCCTCAACAACATTGTGTCCATCTTTATATCATTTTCTTCAATCTTGCAATGTTTCTGGCCACTTGGGCTTCAGCAATGAAAATCCATCTCAGCTGCTTGCTGTAACTATTTCTGCAAAAAGTCTGTTTCACGCAATATCCTCATACCTACATTTCACTTCTCTTCGGTGCATAATTTGTTTCAGTTTTTGTTTCATTATATCTATACAATTCCGTTCTCATTCCTTCTGAGTTTGAAACTGATTCCCTTCACCACATCTTCTCAGGCATGTTGTGGGAGGCAGCCCTGTGAACCAGGGAAAAGATGAGTGTGTTCTGTCTTTCTGCACCAAAGAATCTGCGGGAGTATAGGCATGTACAGTACATACAGGTATGGCCTGACCTGAAAAAGCATAAATTTAATTAACTTCTTGTGGTCAAATGTGGTAGTGAGTTTGTTTTCGTCTTGATGACTTTTCACTAGTAGACTAATAATTTGTCATTCTAATTATAAGAGGCAGCACTGGCTAGGGGCACTGGACAGGGAGTCAGGAGACCTGGGTTTTATTCCTGACCTGTATGACAGTAGGCAAGTTACTTCACACCTCTGTTTCCCCTCCTATCCTTTGTCTCTTCTGTTTACAGGGCCGGCTCCAGGCACCAGCAAAGAAAGCAGGTGCCTGGATGGCCAATAGAAAGGGGCAGCAGTCCGTCTGTTGTTGGGGTGGCACATCCAGGTCAGCGGTGGCAATTCGGCGATGAGTCCTTCGGCGGCAGCTCAATCGCTCCTCTTCAGTCTTCGGCGGCACTTTGGTGGCGGGTCCTTCAACCTTTTTTTTCCCCTTTGCCACTTGAGGCGGCAAAAAAGCTGGAGCCAGCCCTGTCTGTTTAGACTAGAGTATGAGCTCTTCAATGCAGGGACTGTCCATATTAGGTGCCATACAAACAATGGGCCCTAATTTCACTTTAAGGCCTCTAGGTGCTACTGGCATACAAATAATAAAATAGCTATCATACCTCTAATTGTGTCTGAATGAAAAATATAGTTGTACATACTAAATGTTTTTAAACATACACATGTACAGTTTTTATGAAGTACTTGTGACATTGTATGTCGTTGAATTGCAGCAGCAAAAAAGCCCACAGAATGCAGACAAAGTTGGTAAATCACTAGACTCTGAATAAATTGTTCTACAAACTACCTTTTAGTTTATAAGCCATTTGACAGCATTGGTTATTTTTTAAACCATTTTTATTTAAACTTTTCTTTTCCTCTTATTCCCAATATAAGTTTCTCACTACCATTCACTTGGTACATTTTAATAGTTGTGGGGGTGTGAGCATTGTCACCTACTTAATATTTACAGCAGCATGAGTATGGTGCTTTGCTTTTCTTCTCTAGGTCATCTTATCTTTAGAGGTCACAGCTTCTGAGAAACTTAATGTGCAATATCGTTTAATTTCAAGTTGGCTACAAACTTTTAGCCATAGGAGTAGCAATTTCATAAAACATCAACTTTCATATCTATTTTGCAGTAGCAATACTCTAAAACTTATTAAATTTGTTTACATTTTCCAAAAAAAAAATCCCAACTTTATGATGAAATAGGAACAAGCTCTGCTTTCAGAATGGGTTCTTTATTCTTCACTAGTGGTAACATGTGTTCCAGGGCCATATGTGGCAATAAACTGTAACAGTTGCTGATGGCACTGCATCAGATAAACATCTCTTTGCTGCAGAGAGTTTTCATCAATGAGGTCAAATGGAAACACTGCATTTGGAGCCACACAAAATACAGAGGCACCTACACAAAGAAGAATTGAATTGAAAATGTTATGTTAATAGATTCCATACATTCCTGGAAAATCCTCTTGGCCAACTGTTCTGCTTCATCTTAGTGACATTTGAAAGGATGACTTATGAAATGAACACTAACCACATCTTATAAAATAATATTTCTACCTCGTTCTCAAATTTTCTGTCTCTATTTTAAAAAAAAAAAAAAAAAATACTCCCAGGTGTTTGGTATCGGATATGAGATTTACACTTCTGGTTTGAATTTGGTTCAGCTCAATAGCAATCTGTCTTGAAATTCCAAGAGGCACGTAAGATACTCCGTTAAGCTCTTGCACATGTAGGTTCTGACACTCAGATCCTTTAGTGAGTTCTACTGCCAGAGGGATCCGCAGGGAGCTCATTGCAGGATCAGGACTCATGACAGGAAATTCCCAGGTGAGAAGGAATTTTTCCTAACCTTATAATATATCAGATCTTGTTTGTGAAAAAAAATCTTGATTATCACCCTCTACTGTTATAAATCAATTTTTCTTCTCTATATTAATAAGTAAGTTAAGTCTAAAATGGTTAGTGCTTATTGCCTTTGAAATGTAATGCTATGCCATAAATTTGAATTAATCAATATTAAGCTCCTGACATATTAATGGTATCTAGATTCTTTGGTAGATCCAGTCTTCTAATAAGGAAATGAGTATGAGGAAAGCTGTAAATGTTGTCTGAGAAGCCAGGTACAGCCAAAATAATTCTTGCTTCTCAGAGTGGTGTTTTGCTCTTTAGCATTCTGTCCCTATCCAGTTAACTTTGCTACTTTACTCTTAGCATGGAAATGGTGCTTTAACTAAGAAAACACAGATATTTATATCCAAATTTGAGATGCCTTAATTCAAACTTGATTGCATCTTTGATCTAGTTTAATTGTGTTTTATATTGGGTCACTTTTAACATTAAATATAAAGTATCTACACATTTAGACCTAATACTCAACTAACAAACGACCAGTCAGTTAAAACATAGATTAATAGATTCATAGATTCTAGGACTGGAAGGGACCTCGAGAGGTCATCG